CGACATCGCAACGGCGGCGGTTCCTTGTTGGTGCTGCATCATTGCCCACACCTGTAGGATTCCGATCGGGGCACAACGAAACGACGCGAGTTGACACAGTGAAAATTATGAGACGCCGACGTCGAATTTACGACTCATAAAATTTTCATTGCTCTATCACAAATTAGCCTGTTGTGGCGTACTTGCTGTTCACCGGAGCCCAGCTTTTCCCGCCTTAGCTGCAAGAGCTTCCAGTGCCGAGGCGTGCTTTGCGATGTATCGATTGATTTGCCATTTAAACCTATGGAAAAGGATCGATAAACAGGGTGTTCGCAGCGAACACCTTAATAATCGATTCTTTACGATAGGTTTAAATGGCATAACAATCGATACATTGCAATTTACGCCACGTCACTGAGAGCTTCCATCATCGGCAAAGCCTTCATTGAAAAGTCCTACGACTATCTATCGCAGGATTCCAGGATTTCGGCAGATTTGATAGGATTTTTATCAAGGGTAGAAAATGTGATGGAACCAGTGGCGTGGCGTGGCGTGCTTTGCAATATATCGATTGATTTGCCATTTAAACCTACGGAAAAAATCGATTTACAGAATGTTCGCAACGAACACCTTAAAAATCGATTTTTCACCATAGTTTCAAATGGAGAAATATCGATAATCGATCATTCACGCCACGCCACTGGATAAAGCTCGCGAGCTCCTAGCCTCGGTTTCGCGTGGCGCTATGAAATTTTTAGATGATGACGGTTTATGTATGTTTTTCGAAGAATACAACTATTACTTCAGGGGTGTAAAGACCTCTGGACCAGGTGGGTCATGATCGGTCGCTTGAGAAATAAGGAAGGCCAAAAAAACGGTTCTTTCAAATGAGAAAACCGGTAAAACTGTGGGGAAAATAACGGGTTTATCGTAAAATCGCCTGAGAAATCACGAGTTTTGCGCAAAATCGCAACTATTTATGAGAAGAGAGCCATGGAACAGGTATCTTTTCGAAACAAGTGAAACAAACTCCGGACCTTCGTGCGGAATTTCTGCACTTTTCCAGTACTTCCGGACCGCCCTTTAATAATCTGTACTATATCCGGACTTCCATGAAATTCCGAACTTGTAGACACCCTGAACCAGCAATAGCCGTTTCCCATTGAACTCTTCAAACGCGCTGGATTGAATTGCGGACGAGAATTCTCTTTCAATATGAGGAGGAAAAATTCTCCGAAATTTCGAATCTTACCGGTAGCAATTGAACAAAGTCAGAGGCTTTCCACGGCGTTTCAGCAGTTGAAGTAAGCCGAATCTTCTAGAATCCGCCAACGGTAGCTTTGCAGAGGGAGATTTAATTTTCTTTGCGTTTCTCAGCATCTCTCTTCACGGTTTCTACCTACTCCCCTATGCCTAGATTCGGAACAAATGAAAGTAAGTACAGTGGAGCGATTCTCGCCTTGATTCCTGGAAATTCTTTATTAGAAAGTCGAGACTCGTCCCGAGCGGAAGCATCCTCTACAGAGTATTTCAGTTGCCCCGAAAAGTAAATTCGCCGTGCGTTGCTCGTCTTTCGGGGTGTCGATCATGATCCTTCAGAAAAATATAAGTCTTTTGATAAGGAGAACTTTCTTTCCAAGCGAAGAAAAAGTAAGTGCCCTCACTCACTCAGCGAGAATGGAGATGTTGCATGTGTGAGGAAATTGCGATTTGGCTGTTGATTCTTACGTAAAAGTTCGTGAGAAACACGATGGTGCCACTGGTTTTCTCTGAAATTAACTCCCAAGCTCAAAAAAAGCTCTAAAGTTGAGGCCAAAGTGGAGGGGATATCCCACGCTATCCTGAGAGTCCACCTCTACATCAAGACGAACTCTCCATGCAAAGATAGGGAGCAAATACATTAGCATTAGCAGTGATGCCGTGTTTTCAGTTTTGGAGTCCCAAAATAAAGTGGCAGCCCTGTCAATGTATTTGCTCCTTATATCTTTGCATGGAGAGTTTGTCTTGATGTACATGTGAACTCTCAGGATAGCGTGGGATATCCCCTCCATTTTGGCCTCAACTTGAGAGCTTCTTTTGAGCTTGGGAGTTGATTTCAGAGAAAAGCAGTGGAGCCATCGTGTTTCTCGCGAACTTTTACCAAAGAATCAATAGTCAAATCGCAAATTCCTCACACATGCAACATCTCCATTACAGGGCCGGATTTACCTACTTGCCGCCCATGGACCGCCTGTATTTTGCCGCCCCCCTCTCGTTCGTTTTGAAACATCAATAAAAACCGACAGGGGGAGGGGTGCATAATACGCGTTTACTCGTGTTGGAAACATTTTTTGCGTAAATCCTATCAATACTACTAGCATAAGTTCACGGAACTTTGCGCGAAAGTTAAGTTTCGTAAACCTATCTCTGTCTGGATAAGGCCTTCATTTATGAGAAATGAACGAAAAAATTATGAAAGAACAAACACGAATGTGGTTTAATAATCTTAACTTCCGCCGCCGCTGCCGCGCAGACCGCACCGTGTTTGGCGCAACGCGTGAAGTATTCACGCAGTCTTGTAGGCGCCATGCGTTTCACGCTGACCGCACTGTGTTTGGCGCAATGCGTGAAGTATTCACGCAGTCTTGTAGGCGCTATGCGTCTCCCGTTGATCACACTGTGTTTGCCGCAGTGCGTGAGGTATTCCAGCATTATTGTAGGCGCTATGCGTTTCACGTCCGTCGACCGCTGCGCTGCTATGACCGCACAGTGTATGACGCAATGCGTGAAGTATTCGTGCAGTCTTGTAGGCGCTAATATGTGTTACATGCCGACCACCGCGCCGAGGGCTTCTCCTCTTCATCTCAAGTCCTCGTCATCAGTCCTTTCCGCGCCGCGCCGCGCCGCTCCAGGCCAAATTGCGTGTTTGGTTTTTCTCTTAACTCGACTAATTAAAGGTGCAATCTGTTGTATCACCGAAAGACGACAAAATTAGCAATTACTATACTCTCAGGAAAAGAGATTTTGTCGCCTTTTCTCGTTGGTAATTTTTTTTCCCCCTGCTCCGATTTTTCATGATACCTACATTTAAAAAAATTGCAAAATTGGCCGCCCCTTAAATTTGCCGCCGTGGGCCGCGGCCCATGTGGCCACCCTCTTAATCCGGCCCTACTCCATTAAGTACTCTTACAGAATTTTTTCGCGGCTGGATGAATTCTTTGATGTAACTTCTTCGAGTAAACGCTTCAGTCAACGTGCACTTTTTACGTCGTCACCTCGCTGATATCCGTCCATCCTACCTTTTCCCGGATTTTCAACCACGGTTCAAACACAGTTGGAGGGTTAAAACACAAGAACCACGGTAACTTCCTCGAATTTCAAAATCCCCTGACATTTCATGGATTTTGAACGTAAAACTTCCTTGCTTTCCGGAATTAGAACATAAGATTCCCTCACTTTTCAATCTTTTTCCTTATGATTTATAACATATTTTTTTTAAAAAATGTATTTACTTTTTAAACGATTTCTCATAAAAATTATGTTTACGATAAGTTATAGGCGCGACATCTCTAGAGATAGAAATTGAACTCACGGTTTCGATTTGATGAAAAAAAATTTTAGCTGGAAAATTTCTTAAATAGACGTTCCTCGACTTTTCCGGGGTTTCCCTGACTTATCCGGAACTTGTCACCCGGGCTTAAACATAATTTTTTTTATATCTATTTCTATTTATGAATTTATTGAAAGTTTGGCTTGACGTATCGGATAGAGTTCGACGAATGTGGCGCACCGAACTTCGAATCATACGATAAGGTGTAACTTCCTGAGATTCAATGGCATTGCGTGGCGTGTTTCGCGATAAATCGATAGGTACGTCATTTAAACATACGGAAAAGGATCGATAGACGGGGTGTTCGCGACCAACACCTCGATAATCGATTCTTTCCCACAGCTTCAAACGGGGAGATATCGATGGAACCCGGCGAACGTCGACGGACCGCGCTTTATAGATTGCGCCGCGCTACCGGCAATCCCGTAGCCCGTTGCCGGGGCAACCATGTAATTATTAAGGGTAAAGACGGCGCAAAAAAAAAAAAAAAAAA